ATTACTGATACCTAAATCATTACACTTCATCCATAAATGGTGATCCTAAGGAATTTTCTTAGTGGTGCCAAACTGTAGTGTTTTTTTCAAAGTTGTTCACCCAAGAAGCATTAATGGAGCACTGACTGTACTAATGTTAGAGAGAGGTACAAAAGAGAAGAAAGATATTGTCTGGCCCTTACAGATCTGCTCAGTATCATATTTTTAAAGATCTGATTTGCCTGAAGTCAACAGATGCACACTGTTAAAACAAGTTTATCTTGTTTTATACCAAATGGGGTATAATTCCAAGGGTTTGAAAGATTAGGATTGAGATCGAATGGGAACTCATTGCTTTATCTAAAGTGCTGATTTTTTTTTTTTTGATCAAAAGGCTTCTTTCTGACATTAAGTAAATAGATACCTCCTTTTGGATTTTGTATCCAGAATGAAAGGGATGTCATTTACTGCAAACAGGAAGGGCCTGTTTGTAGAGCATTTATCCTGCCTTTGCTGCTTGGTTTCTTTATATCTTTTCCTCTGGTTACCCATCTTACATTTGTAACAGGAAGAACTTGGCTGCAGGTATAATAGATTTGTCAGGGTGAGTTTATTTGAGCTTTTAGTAAATGGTCCATAGAATATTTTCTTTCTGCTGTTTAGTTTTTGCTTAATTCTGACCAGCCTCAGAGCTAAGTGGAGATAGTTGCCTGGTTTATTGTTTGCATTTAATATTCTCTCTAACCCCACTCCCCTTTGCTTTTGTGGGGGTTACTAAACAGTGTTGCTACCCATGTGTACATGGCTGTAAAGAACATGCATGAAAACATTACTTAATAAATTATTTTTATTTTTATTTTTCCTTGCATACTCTGAATTGTAGCATCATTGCTGAATACTAACTACATTGTCTGATTTCTTGATTATTTTCCTGCATTGAATATATGATATTACCCAAAGTTGGTTTCAGTATGTTCCTTCCAGTAGAATTCTTTTGTCATTCTGCTTGTATGCCTGTTCCTTATGTTGTGCTCGAATCCATTTTTTACTTACGTTCAGTTTTTCAAACATGTTCAGTTATATGGTAGAATGTGTTAGTTTTGCACTGATAGATGTTATTCTCTGATTCTTTAATCATGTCTTTTTTATTTAAAAATATTTATTGAGCAACTAATATTTAATCAGACACATCTACATATTTGTGAGTTTCTGCTAAATAAGACAGAGATGCTGTCCTCTTGTGCTGTACATTCTGTTATGGAGGGCAGACAATTCAAAAAAGGAAAAAAGAAAAGTAAATAAGCAAGGTAATTTTAGACTATAAGCGCTATACAGAGAGTTAAAATGTGGTGATTTGATAGTGTCTTGGTAGCTAATTTTTAAAAAATTTGATTACAGTTAACATACAATGTTATATAATAATTCCACTATTGAGTGTTTACCCAAGGGAAATGAAAATACTAATATGAAAAGATATATGCACTCCTATGTTTATTGCACCCTTGTTTACAATAACCAAGATATGGAAGCAACCTAAATGTCCATCGGTGGAGAAATGGATAAGGAAGATGTGGTAGCTATATATAATGGAATATTACACAGCCATAAAAAGGGTGAGTTGGCCATTCACGACAGTGTGGGTGGAGTTAGAGAGTATTATGTGAAGTGAAATAAGTCAGACTGGGAAACACAAATACCATATGATTCCATTCATAAGTGGAATCTAAAACAGTAACAAACAACAGTGAATGAATAAACAAACAACAGGCAGAATCAGACCTATAAGCCTATAATTACAGAGAACAAACTAACAGTTGTCAGAGGGGAGGAGGTTAGAGGGTTGGGCAAGTCACAGGAGTAAAAGACACAGCATAAGGGATTCCGTTGATGATATTGTAATGGCAATGTATTGGGACAGACGACAGCCACACTTGTGAACATAGCATAAGGTATAAACTTGTTGACTCACTTCATTCATATGTCTTGATCATTCATTCCTAAATGTGTCAAAGAGATCATACCAGTGGAGATACCAAGAACACTGACTCTGGGCAAGTGTAATGACTACTTGGACAATTTGGAATTGCCATAGCTCTAGTTAAAATTTTCAATTGCCTTTTGATTAAGCAACAAAAAGAATAATGAAACATGTTAGTGGTTCAGCTTCTGTGTTTAACAACGTGGTGCCTTCTTTGCTTCACTCATGAATTCAGTGGGCATTTGTTGAGCATTTCTTGTGTCAAGTATTTTTCACTGTTCATATTCTACTTTCTAAAAGTAGCTTTTTGCTATCTTTATTTCTTAGGCATTTTGAGTACATTCCAAAAGTAATAGTGTTTTTTTTTTTTTTGTTTTTTGTTTTTTTTATGTCTGGCTACTCAAAGAGTGGTCATTGGGCCAGTAGCCCTGGTAACATCTGGGAGCTTGTTAGAAATGCGGAATCTCAGGCTCCATTCCAGACTTGCTGAATCAGAATCAAGATTCCTAGGTTATTCGATACACATTAAAATTTAACAAGTCCATATATAGCATAGAGATTGTTACCATCTGTGTGTATTTTTTTTTTAAACAATTGAGTACTTTTACTCATTCAGCTACTTTCTTAGAGACTCCCTTTCATGTGAAAGCAATTATAGGAATATCCTTGGAGGATCTTTTCTATTTTTAAAACTCTACGAAAAAATTATAAAACACAGGAATAGGTAAATACTCTTGGTTTACAGAAGGATGCAAATAAAAGACTGTTTGAAGTGGGGCATAAGTGGTTTTCATATCTGCTAAAACTTTCACAAAAGACTTGTAATTTTTAAAAATGGGTCTTTATGAGAGACCTTGCTGCAAAATCTGTCATATGGGAAGATTTTAATACAGAAGTGGTTTCAGAAGCTTTTCCATAGGGTGAATGATAAAGTCGTATCTGAAACCCGTGGTAAATAATGCTAAGTTTTCATCCTGTCCTCTCTTTATTTTTGGAAAGGAAGTATGAAGTAAACTGATGCTATCAAATCAAATCATTATTCTTCTAGAATAAATAGTAGTTTGATATCTGGCTTTTCTTTCTGGTGGTTTGATTACTTAGAGATTAAAGAAGAAGACTTTTAGAAAAGTCAGTTGCCTACTCCTAATATGAGGAGGAACTGATAACAATTTTATTTCTTTTATTTAAGTACAAATGTAACTCACTCAGGGGTAACAAACAGAATGTAGATTGGTTGGTAAATGTTTTAAGTAGTGTTTATAAAGACTGAACTGCATATTTTATTAGCATAGAGTAATTTTTGTGACTTAGTAAATGAGAATAGAAAATGTGCTTTGAATTTTTTATTGCTTAAAATATTTTCATATTTTTATTGCTTAAAGTAATTGCCAGGAGAAGTGCATCATAGGTAGAGAGTACAGCAAGTGTGAAGAGCCTGAGAAAGTAATGAGCTAAATATAGCTCATTAATTTGGATTGTGAACATTCAAATAAAATTACTTCATCTAAATAACGTGAAGCAGATGTGAAGAGAATGTAAATGCTACTTTTTGAGTGGAGTGCTTTTAAGTATAGGAGTGAATCAAAGTGTAAGATCATTAATAAATAGTCAACTTTATTTCCTGGTGTCACAGAAGTTTCTTGTGTGTTGGTTGTCCTCCTCCTCCTCCTCCTTCTTCTTCTTCTTTAAGATTTTATGTATTTATTTTAGAGAGAGAGAGAACATGAGCAAGGGGAGGAGCAGAGGGAGAGGGACAAGCAGACTCCATGCTGAGCACAGAGCCCAACTCTGGGGCTTGATCCTAGGACCCTGAGATCATGATCTGAGTTGAAGTGAGACGCTTAACCAACTGAGCCTCCCAGGTTCCCCTGGTTATTCTTTAGTAAACTAGATGTGACAATGTTCTTTAGCTATGATTGTGAGACCTGACTAATAATGCTGGGATTTTGAGATCAAGAGGCTAGAAACCAACAGTTTTGAAATATGTGAGCTCTGTAGCATGCCTGCCTTCTCTCTTTTGCACTCAGCATTTGCTTTCTAAATCTGTCTTCTCTAAACTTTATTTTCTTTTTAAGATTTTATTTATTTATTTGAGAGAGAGACAGAGATAGCAAGAGAGAGAACAAGCTGGGAGTAGAGGGAGAGGCAGACTCCCCTCTGATGAGGGAGCCCAATGTGGGGTTCAATCCCAGGAGCCTGGGATCAAGACCTCTGCCAAAGGTAGATGCTTAACAGACTGAGCCCATCCCTGATGTGGCCAGGCACCCCTAAATCTCTCTTCTCCATTTTGTTTCTTTATTTTTCTGTTATTTTTCCATTTTTCTCTATCGTAATAATTTTACTGTCTATTCTTAAAAATGCTGACCATGGAAAGTCATATTATTCAGAAGGAAAAAAGGTCTTAAGGAACTTAAAGAAGGATACTTCTGCAAGAGACTGTAATTTAGTATTATAACTTGAAAATGTAAGGATTTTTTGATGATTATTTTAATCAGATACTTGTCATTGTTTTCTGATAAATGATCAGAATTCTCATTTGCTGTTCTTAGTAGAGAAGTCTATGCATTTTAAGAAATATAAAGAAAAAGAACAATAAAGAGTTGGGGACCTTTTAATCTCATAATTTCTTGGGGTATAGAGATGTTTGCAAGAATAATTCCTGCAAACTTTACACCTTTATTACATTGATACCCTCAAAGCATGCTAAAAAGCATAAGATCTTTTTAGGAAAGATAAAAGGGTATTTGCTATGTATAGTCAGAGCATTGAATTTGAAATATGCATTTCACTAAGTTGGCCTCAGGGGTAAGGTAATTTCTCCATGTGCATATATTTAGCAAGTGACAGCATTAATAATTTATTCGGGATGTATAGGTGAGATATTTTTGTACTTTATTTGAAGGTCTCATGCTTAATGGATTGGAGTCCTGTCTGTGGGTGATTCAATACCTAAATATATTAATTTTGGCACACTTGACATGATTTAGGGTTTTGCCTACAGTAATCAGTTTTGATTATAAGAGTTCTCCTCTCTTTTTAATAGCAACATCATGACAACAGAGAAGAGTTTAGTGGCTGAAGCTGAAAATTCGCAGCACCAACAACAGAAGGAAGAAGGTGAGGGAGCCACAAATTCAGGCCAACAAGAAACTCAGCTTGAGGAGGCTTCTCAGGAGGCAGCTGAGGGAGATAATCAGTGTGAGCAGAAGCTGAAAACATCTAATGGAGATACTCCTACACATGAAGACTTAACCAAGAACAAGGAGCGGACATCAGAAAACAGGGGCCTGTCACGGCTGTTCTCCTCATTTCTCAAAAGGCCTAAGTCTCAGGTTTCTGAGGAAGAAGGCAAAGACGTAGAGTCAGCTAAAGAGAAATGTGAAGGAGGTCAGAAAGAGATAGAATTTGGAACGGGTCTTGATGAAGAGATCATTTTAAAAGCCCCAATTGCAGCTCCTGAACCTGAACTCAAAACAGACCCATCCTTGGATCTTCATTCATTAAGCAGTGCAGAAACACAGGTAAGGATGTATGAATGAGGGAGGTGTGTGATGAAGACTGTATTGACTGTATTTTTCACTTAATAACATTTGCCATGATTTTTTACTAACCAGTTGACTTAGGCATTGATAAGAATAAATAACATGAAGCTTTGGAATTTCTGTTGTGAAAAAATTACCCAAGTAATCAATGGAAACTTGACTTTTTAGAAGATGCACTCTATACTTTTATATTTACATTTTATAGAGCAAAGAAAACAAAATGAAAGAAGTATTTATCAAATGGGTTTTTTCAGCCTATATATCAATTAGCTGTGATAATAGAACAAGTCCAAGATTTTTTTAATGAACATATGATGTATTATTTGCTTCAGGGGTACAGGTCTGTGAATCATTAGTCTTACACACTTCACCGCACTCACCATAGCACATACCCTCCCCAATGTCCATCACCCCCCACCCCCTCAGCAACCCTCAGTTTGTTTCCTGAGATTAAGAGTCTTTTATGGTTTGTCTCCCTCCCTGGTCCCATCTTGTTTCATTTTTGACTCCCTACCCCCCATGACTCCCTGCCCTGTGTCTCAAGTTCCTCATATCAGAGAGATCATATGATAATTGTCTTTCTCTGACTGACTTACTTTGCTTAGCATAATACCCTCTAGTTCCACCCACGTCATTGCAAATGGCAAGATTTCATTTCTTTTGATGGCTGCATAGTATTCTATTGTATATATGTATGCCACATCTTCTTCTTCTTTTTTTTTTTTTTAAAGATTTTATTTATTTGACAGAGAGAGATCACAAGTAGAGAGAGAGAGAGGAGGAAGCAGGCTCCCTGCCTAGCAGAGAGCCCGATGTGGGACTCCATCCCAGGACCCTGAGATCATGAGCTGAGCTGAAGGCAGAGGCTTAACCCACTGAGCCACCCAGGCAGCCCATGCCACATCTTCTTTATCCACTCATCTGTTGATGGACATCTAGGTTCTTTCCATAGTTTGGCTTTTGCGGACATTGCTGCTATAAACATTTGGGTGCACATGCCCCTTTGGATCACTACATTTGTATCTTTAGTGTAAATACCCAGTAATGCGATTTCTGGGTCATAGGGTAACTCTGTTTTCAACCTTTTGAGGACCCTCCATGCTGTTTTCCAGAGTGGCTGCACCAGCTTGCATTCCCACCAACAGTGTAGGAAAGTTCCCCTTCCTGTGCATCCTCACCAACACCTGACTTGTTAATTTTAGCCATTCTGCAAGTCCAAGATTTTTAATGAGAGGTGGGAAAAGGTGAGGTGGTTTAAAGTTCATTTTGTTGGATTTCTTAGGAGTGGGACAGTTTATCTGCAAATGTGGGTCCTTTTATGAAAGTCCTCAAAAAAGCTATGTAGTAGATTCAAGCTATCCAGAGGTATGTCCTAGGTTTGAGCCATGCCTGCCTTATTGTTATTGTTTTCTCCAACCAGATCGTATTACCAGAGTGTTAGTTATAGATAAGGAAGGCTAGCCCTTTATATCACCTTTGATATATCACCTACTACTGTAATATACAGTAGCTTGGGGCCTTAATTGTGTCACAGTTATGCTTTGCTATTAAGAGTGATCATTGGGTCAGCAGCACGGGAGCTTGTTGGAAATGCAGAATCTCGGGCTCTACTCCAGACTTGCTGAATCAGAATCTGTATTTTAACAGAGATTGCTGGGTAATTTGATGCACATTAGAATTTAACAACACATGTATAGCACATACAAAACATGGGTTGGGAATTTATCTGTCCAAAAAAATATTCGAAAGTATTAGCAGTATAACTGAAACTATTTTCTAGGAATCCCACTTGTTTTTAGCCTTAAAACAAATTAAAAGCTATTTTAAAGGGGTTTTTATTTTTGAAGGATAGTGAGCATGCTTTTTAGAAGCCAGTAATTTTCATCAAAACCTTGTGGATCAGAACCTTGTAGGTAAGGGTTTATTTGTTTAACTGTATTTCCTTTTTTTTTTTTTTTTTTGAGAATGACAGACGTTTTTATTTTTTTTTAAAGATTTTATTTATTTATTTGACAGAGATCACAAGTAGGCAGAGAGGCAGGCAGAGAGAGAAGAAAGGAAGCAGGCTCCCTGCTGGGCAGAGAGCCCGATGTTGGGCTCCATCCCAGGATGTTGGGCTCCATCCCAGGATCCTGGGATCATGACCTGAGCCAAAGACAGAGGCTTTAACCCGCTGAGCCACCCGGGCGCCCCTGACAGACATTTTTTTTTTTTTATATTTTATTTTTTATAAACATATATTTTTATCCCCAGGGGTACAGGTCTGTGAACTGCCAGGTTTACACACTTGACAGCACTCACCATAGCACATACCCTCCCCAATGTCCATAACCCTACCCCCCACTCCCAACCCCCCTCCCCGCATCAACCCTCAGTTTGTTTTGTGAGATTAAGAGTCACTTGTGGTTTGTCTCCCTCCCAATCCCATCTTTGTTTAACCATATTTCTATATGTGTGATAGAGTTTCACTTGAGTGGTCCTTTTCTATCCAGATTTTTAAAAAGTAAGTTTGCATCATAGGACTGTACCAGTCTTTATGTCTGGTACCTTGGATTTTTCAGAAGCCATGTCAGTTTTTACTGTTTATTTATTCATTCAACACATATTTATTGAAAACCTACTATGTGTGCCAGACCCTAAGCTGGATATAATTGGTACAATATGACAAAGAGGTTTAAGATCATGAGTTCTGGAGGCAGACTGGTATGTAACTTATTAACTGAATGATGCTGGATGAGTTACTTTAACTTCTCGGGCTTCAGTTTCTTTCTCTCTTTTCTTTTTTGTTTTTTAATTTTAATTCCAGTATCATCAACATACAGTGTTATATCAGTTTCTGATGTATAATATAGTGAGCTAACAATTCTATACATTACTCAGTGTTCATCATGATAAGTATTCTTGATCCCCTTAGCCTATTTTTTTTTTTTTTTTGCAATTGGGTTGTTTTTACTTTTTTTTTTTTTTAAAGATTTTATTTATTTATTTGACAGAGAGACATCACAATTAGACGGAGAGGCAGGCAGAGAGAGAGAGAGAGAGAGAGGGAAGCAGGCTCCCTGCCGAGCAGAGAGCTCGATGTGGGACTCGATCCCAGGACCCTGAGATCATGACCTGAGCCGAAGGCAGTGGCTTAACCCACTGAGCCACCCAGGCGGCCCATGTTTTTACTTTTTTCATATCATAAACTTAATTTCTTTTTAAAAAATTTTAATTCCAATGTAGTTAACATGCAGTGTTATATTAGTTTGAGGTGTAGGATATAATGACGATAAAGTGAGTTCATATAAATAATGCTTTTAGAATAGTAACTGACCGATTTTAATTGTTATATAGTGTTGTTGTTATAAAACAATCATAATCCCTATTCTTGATGACATTTTATAGTCTAATGGAAGAGACAAAAAATTAGTAAATACAAAGTATTTATTATAAGAAATTTTAAGAAAGCAATAAACAGGGTACTGACATGAATAGCAGACTGGGGATATGATAGGTAAGATAGCCAGTTGAAGGACTCTTTGAAGAGGTCACATTTAAAAGGGTCACAAAGGGGGCACCTGGGTGGCTCAGTGGGTTAAAGCCTCTGCCTTCGGCTCAGGTCATGATCTCAGGGTCCTGGGATCGAGCCCCGCATCGGTCTCTCTGCTCGGCGGGGAGCCTGCTTCCTCCCTCTCTCTCTGCCTGCCTCTTTGCCTACTTGTGATCTCTGTCAAATAAATAAATTTAAAAAAATCTTAAAAAAAAAAGGGTCATAAAGGATGGGAAGGAGCCTTTTAGACCACCTCTGATATCTAATTCAGGAGCTAAATAATTAAGTCCTTTTTCCTTTATGTCAACCTTATATTCTGAAAGAAAAGATTTAATGAGGTTTAGTTAAGAATCTTTCAGCAGTTTTATTATGTTGGAAGTAAGAAAGTATGTGTCAAAATGTTGTTTCACTTACCTATAAAACTTTGGGATGACTTCATGATAACCTTAGGAAACCCAGATTTCAATGTCTCTTGCTTCTTAGAATCTTCTTCCCATTGGGCATGATTGATAAAAGGTAGAAAAGAGTTGACTGGTAGTTACATTTGTTAGCCTAGTTTATATGTTGTTTTATGCTCTAAAATTGGTCCCAAGACTCTCTCTTAGCCATTCATAAGATTTAGAATATGTGATAAATCACATCTCATTTTATACTTCATAAAGGTACCTTGCTAAAATTGTAGAGCATAGGGCAGAGATGGTAAGGTTTTGATAAACTTTAATAATATATAATGGTGGGATGCCTGAGTGGCTCAGTCAGTTAGGTGTCTGCCTTCAGCTCAGGTTACCATCCCAGGGTCTTGGGATCGAGTCCCGCATGGGGCTCCTTGCTTAGTGGGGAGCCTGCTTCTCCCTCCGCCTTCTGTTCTCCATGCTTGTGCTCTTTCTCTCTCTGAAAAATAAATAAATAAAATCTTTAAAATATATATAATGGCATAGTCAGGAAGAATATATAATGCTGAGAGCCATATATACGCCTGAAAACTTCATTTGTTGATTTGAAAGATGGATTCTACCTGAGAAGTTTTGAGGATAGCATAGTGTATAGATCTTTTAGGAGATTATAATATCTTTTTTTTTTTTTTTTTAAGATTTTATTTATTTGTTTGACAGAGACATAGTGAGAAAGGGAACAGAAGCAGCAGAAGTGGGTGAGGGAGAAGCAGGCTTCCCTCTGAGCAGGGAGCCAGATGCGGGGCTGGATCACAGGACTCTGGGATCATGACCTGAGCCGAAGGCAGCCACTTAATGACTGAGCCACCCAGGTGCCCCTCATAATATCTTTTATAGATAATTTATTTAGTCTTAGTATCACTTATATTTGTTTTAACAGTTTTTCTAATTCACCACATTCATTGGTAGCATTATTATAGTTATTAAAATGTACACAGCATATTTTGTGAAATGTGTTTATTACTGACTTGGTGTCATGGTTATGCAGCCCGCTCAGGAAGAACACAGAGAAGATCCAGACTTTGAAACTAAGGAAGGAGGAGACCTTGAAGAGTGCTCTAAAATAGAAGTAAAAGAAGAAAGTCCTGAGTCAAAAGCAGAAAGAGAATTAAAAGCTTCCCAGAAATCCATCAGAAGACACAGAAACATGCATTGCAAGGTTTCTTTGTTGGATGACACAGTTTATGAATGTGTTGTGGAGGTGAGGGCATTTTAATTTCCATAGTCCTAATTCTTACCTATTCTTTGGTAGGGTTGAGTAAGTAGTTCTAGTGACTATTTCCAGGGACTGAAATGTTAATAGGGATTTTCTGGAAGTGGAGGTCTGGAACGATTATTACTGAGTCTTACTTTCTTCTCCAGTTTTGTCTATATCTGCCAAAACTTGTCAATCAACCATGTGTTACTTTTATAATCCAAAACAATTTTGTTTAAAAACAATTGGTTATTATTTATAGAGTGACCTGCCATGACTAGATTTCCCAGGTAGCCTTGATTTCTGATATTAAGTCTAGCTATCCTCATAATTATATTTGTGAAAAAGTTACTGGCTGGTCATTTCTGCTGTCCCAGATGTAAACTGTAATAAGCCCTGGTTTATTCAATCCATTTCTTTAGCACTATGAAATAGGATATAAAAAATTTAAGTCAAGTAATGCCATTTTTTAGAATACTTTATTGTTTTCTGAAAAAATAAGTGATAGAGTCAGGATTGAATAAAAATGTGTTACTTGGTTATTTTTTGCTCTTTCAAGACAAGTTAAAATCCCTAAAAATCTACTAATCATTTTTTTTAACTGGAGAGTAATTATCAGTTATGATATGATTGATATTAAGCAATGTGATTATTACTAATAATAGCCTTTATTGATAAAACATATATAGTTCACATATATTTGTATTTTAGGTAATTAATTTTGAATTATTTATATGCAAATGTAAATCTATCAAAGCAGTAATAGTCTAAAATATCACCCTGTATCTATCAATAGACATTCCCTCTCCAAGTTTTAAAAAAGAAATCAAGAAAAATACAGTATTGCACTTTGAAAATAGCTGCTATCCTGTTAACCAAGGACCTGTGGTCTGTTCTTTCTGCTTCTCTCCACTACCTAGTTGAGAGATGGGAAAAGCTATTTCACACATTCTTCCCATTTCGACCAATGTCCAGATCTGGGTTCTTTTTACCTGAAACATTTGGGGGCAGATATGTTTCAGAATTCAAAATACTTTGGTTTTAGAAAGGCAGTAAATACTTTGGCTGCATATTTCATAACACACACAGCAGGGTGTGTGGCAGGACCAGGATTCATTCTAAGACAGGTACATAAAGACCATAAATAGCCTCGTAATAGTTCAGGTCAGAATTTGCCTTCAAATGAATTTTGGAATCTGCCCCCCCCACCCGAAAAGCCTAAAATTTTACTTTTTAGAGCTTCTGGATTTTGGAATTATAAATAAGGGAGTAGGGGCCTGTACATGAAGATTCCCCAAATCAATTCTGTCATTTGGAGTGAAAACATAAGAGAGAAAAAAATGAAGAAAATGATTACAATAGATGAATTAATCTGAAAATGAATTAATAGCTATATGAATTATTAAGTCATTAAAAATAACTGCTCATGGAGAGGATGTGTGTGTGTCAAAAATGATTTCTAACTTTTTTGAAGTATTTTAAAAAATATATTTCTCAGAGGTCATTGGCATGTTTGATTTTTTTCAACAATTCCATTAGGTACGATAGATATAAATAGTCTTACAGTTTTACATATAAGAAAGCTAATGTTCAGAATTATTAATAGAGTTGATCTAGGTTGTAAATGGAGGAGCCAGGACTTTTGACTGTCCTATTTTAGCCTCTAAGTTAGGCTAAGTAGGAATATTAGTACCCAAATTTGGCAGTGGTTTTATTTTCTTGGTAAAGAAACCTTAGAAAATGATTCATAGCACAACTAAAAAAGCCACCGCAAGTGGTAATGTCCGTAGGGTATCTAGACTTCATGCGTTTTTCAGCAAGGAGCTGAGACATAGCTCATTCTCTTGGGGCATTTGGTCTGAGAACGGCTGCAAGTCTGAATGATTTCCATAGTCACAATTAACTGTCAGTGTTGACATTAGAGTCAGTGAATTTAGGTGGTCATGTTGACAGCAGCCCATAGCAAACTTCAGGAAATACTGCACCAAAAATAAAGATTGTGATGTTTAAGATGGAGGCCGGGAATGGTTGATGAAGGGAAGGTAAAATTTTGCCTTGACTTCTAGCACTATTTCCAAGCCACTATAAGTGTGCTGCATATTTAAGATGACAAATTAAGAAACAGGATTTTTATAACCCATATTGTTCTACTTCTACCATATAAACCATCTGAAAAGTGGTGGTAACCAAGGATAAAAGAGGAAATTGGGAAGTAACATTTTTTATTTGATGATAAACACAAGAATAAGAGGAAACCTCAGAATATGTTTGTCTTTGCAGAAACATGCAAAGGGGCAAGATTTGCTTAAACGAGTGTGTGAGCACCTCAATCTTTTGGAAGAGGACTACTTTGGTCTAGCCATTTGGGATAATGCAAACTCTAAGGTGAGGAGACTGTCAAAATACTTGTTTAAATTCTTTTATTGTTGTTAAGTGTATTTATGCCTGCCTCTCCAAGATGAAATATATTTAAGAGTTATTCTTGCCTATTCTTGTTTCTCAGATTTTCCCTCTAGAACATTTTAAAGAAAAGACCATTACTGATGTGTTCTTTCATCATTGAGAGAGAGTATCTACTGTACTATCTTTTTAAAGGACAGGGCAAGTAGAGAGCTATGATGTCCTGATTAGCAAGTAGATACCAATAACTTCATATATTATGTAATTAATATTGTATCTGATAGGTTCATAATAAATACTTGTTGAATGGATGATTATCAATATTATAAGATAATTATGATATATAGTTATAATTTGAAACATGTTATTGTTTGAAACATATTCTAATTTGAAACGTATAATTTGAAATATATTATTGAAACAGTCCTGCAATGAATCTGACATTTTCTTCTAGCCCAAAGGGAAACCAGTAGTTAACTTTCGAAAGAAGTAAAAGAAAGTGTGAGAACATGGAGGAAGAAGGAAAGGTTAAAAGTTAGGTATTTACTTCAGAAAATTTGAATTATTTCCTAAGCCAATTTACTGAAAATCATAAATATTTAGCTTAAAATCTAGTGATAAAAACTTTAGTGCAGCTTAACAAGTCTTTGCAGATGCTATCCTAAATGATATGGATAGGGCTGTGGATAAAATAGACATGGTCCCAGCCCTTTGGAACTTGGAATTTAGCGTGATGAGTGTTACACAAGAGGAAATACAAGATGTCATGACAGGGTATGGCCAGGGAAGTCTTTTCTGGGGAGGCGACGCTTGAGCCAAGAACTGAAGGATTAAATGGGCAAGTGATGTGGAGAAAGAATGGCTTGTAAAAATGCCTAGAATTAAGAGAATGGCGTTGGAGAAACTAGGAGCCTGGCTAAACACAGGGAGTGAGGAACAGAGAAGGAGATTAATCTGAATTGGTTTTGTTGATTATTTAAGGTAACTTAAATTTATTAAGAAAAGTTGAGGGGCAGCAGCCTTTAACAACCGCAGACTCTGTAGTTTGGATTTTTTGAGTTAGAGAATGCAAGCTAGACGACATGGAATTTCCCTTTGCCTAAATGAACTCTATTTGTAAAATATACTAGTAGTTACCTAGTAGTTTACAATAGTTTGTCCTTCTATGTGAGTGACTGTTGGTTTAAGCAGAAGAACTATGTCTACCAGCACTAGGTTAATATTATTCTTTAAGGACTTGATCTTTGTCCTTAAAGGCTCAAACCAACTTGTACTTAAGTCTCTAAGTTCTATTAATAAGGGAAGATTGAAGGTAATTAAAAAACAAAATAATATCCCCCAAACTACAGTGAAGAACATTCAGCAGCTGTGAGCTCAGAAATTCTCCAATGAATCAAGGAAAATACTCTGAAAAGTATTTTATGTATATAAGCTCAGTGAGATAAAGTTCAGTCTTTTTACACTATGGGTGCAAAAAAAAAAAGAAAGAAAGAAAGAAAAGAAAAGAAAAAAGAAAAAAGAAAAATCCAAGGTTGATTTGAGAATAATTGGGAATGCTTGAATTTGGCATGTTGGTAAAATCACTGAGTACTTAATATAACTGGAAATAATTTCTATGAACCACACATAGTTACATTTTGAGAAGCTAGCACATTCATCTAGACATTCAGGAGAGGAAATTCTTTTCCCCTTGAAGCTGAGCTTCTAGGGCCCACATTGCTACAAAAACTTTCAGTTGCATTGATAACTTTTCACTATTGTTGGTCCCATCATACTTGTCCCGTCAGCAGGTTTTATTTCCTTTATAATACTTTTCAAAATCTTTATAAGCAAATATTTAATTCCTTTATTTATATTCATTTAAATACTTATGTGTAAAGTGAATTAAAAGTGGCTAATATAAAAGCTGAATAGCAAAGTATAAACCCGGCTGTGTAAAAAATGGCATTATTATCCCTCTTCGATAAAATACTTCTATAAGAGAAAAGCTGTTGTTTTGGAATCATAATCTAGTTTCAAATTCCCTGATAGTTGCTAAGAGCGCCTTTTGGGGAAGTCATTGGGCAAGTGAATGGGAAATATCATATTCAAGGCATTTGTTAGGTTTGTAGTAGGGTCCATGTTCTTACAGGATATCCAATAGGAACATGATCAGAGGTAATGAACTGTTCTGTATTTTCTGCTTCTAAATTCATTGTGACCAACCTCCAACTCTGAGAAATAGGTCAATATTTTCTTTGAGTTTTTCTTTGGATTAAAATAAGGGTCTTTGGGCTGATTCAGGAAGTAGGGCATAGAAGCGAAAGTAGGAACTTGCCAAGCAAATATTGTACAAAAATGAATTTGGAGAAGACTTACCTTAGCATTGTCAGGTTAAAAGGCCATTATAGTAGCAAAAGCTATCTTGGTGATGACAGTCCTTCTTCAATATGCTGTCTCTTGAGTCATACTTATTCATTATGGATGAGTTGCTCTCTCTGCTCATGCGTAACTGTCCCTGGTATTTCTGTCACCATCATCCTGAAGATTTGATTTGCCTCATTCATGTGATGTTTCTCCAATTTCCTTTGTCCTAGCTTTTCCTTATGTTTTGATAGAATGCTTCTTCTGAGAAATGGCATGCGAGACATTATCTTTTTGAGATATTATATGTCTGAAAAATGTCTTTATTTACCTCCATTTGATTATTAGTTTGGTTGGGTATAGAATTTTACACTTGAAGTTATTTGCCATCTTAATTTTGATGGCATTGCTCTATTTGTCTTCTGGCTCCCAGTGCTGCTATGGAGTAGGCCAGAGCCATTCTGATTCATGATCTTTTATGTGACCTTCCCTTTGTAGAATTAAGCTAGTAGAATCTTACTGTCTTCCTTCCTCCATTCCTCCCTTCCTTCTTTCCTTCCTTCCCAAAATGGAGGATCCAGTTTAACTTAAAACAGTAAGGAGAGACCCTGTTTCCCCACACTCCTCACCAAACTACAATGGTAGCAGACTTTTTACTTTTGCCATATGAAGAGGAGGGGAAAACTGGAGTCAGGACTTGCTTTGGAACCACAGCTCCAAGTCCATGGTTTGGAGCCCAGTGCTAACTCTCTGTGAGTGACATCTTCCCCTCCCCAAAACAGGTGAGGAAAGAGTTCCTCAGCCTTGTAAGTTCAAGCCCAGATGGAGCCAATCTTCTTGCCAGCCCAGCTTAGAAATGCCACCTTTTCTTTATTTACCCAAGCTGGTGGCAGAGGGGACCATGAGCTAAGGGGAGGGCTCGCTCATGTTGCCTCAGTGTCAGCCTGTTGCTGGCTGCCTTCATGAACCAGCAGGATGCATCTTTGGTCAAAGGCCTAGGTGCAGCTTGGAGCAGCGATGGTGGGCTGTGGCCTGGTTGCCTGGTGCCATCGGGGGTCATGACACAGGCTTTGTGCAGCCAATCTGGAGGGGAATGAAAAAGTCTTGGAGCAGTGTGGACAAGGATAGGGGTGGACATTGGTGGCATGGTGTGTGTGGCCGAGGGCTGCAAGCTTGGAGGGATAGCAGAAGGTCTTGGGGTGATTGGGACACAGAGGGGGCAGGCGCCGGTGTGTACCAGCCAGTACATGGCCACTTGGTCTGGTAAGAGAAGGCCTTGTCACAGCCACAGCATTAGTGCCGGCACTGGGCCGGGGCTGCTGGCGGTGCAAGGAAGGCGCCCTGCAGAACTGTCAGGCCCTAGAACCAACTGGGTTTCTGCAGTGAGCCCTGGTGGGGTGCTCCTTTCTTGGTTATTGGTTCCTTGCCAGTGGGACCAGGATCGGTGTCTCTAGCTGCGGACTCCTCATCTCGGCCCAGCATCCTGCTGGGCCAGGAACCCAGAGGGAGGTAGGCAACACTGGCGATTATCAGGCTAATGGAGATTGGGCTGTAGGGCCCCGGTCTTGGTTTAGTCCCAGTCCACTGATGCTGTGTGAACTGCTTCCTTCTTCTTCTTCTTTTTTTTTTTTTTAAGATTTTATTTATTTATTTGACAGAGAGAGATCACAAGCAGAGAGGCAGGCAGAGAGAGAGGGGGAAACAGGTTTCCTGCCTAGCAGAGAGCCCGAAGTGGGGCTTGATCCCAGGACCCTGAGATCATGCCCTGAGCTGAAGGCTTAACCCACTGAGCCACCCAGGTGCCCTGAACTGCTTCCTTCTTGTTGCTTAATTTTATCCCCAGTGTGGAGGGTGGAGGGGGACCTGTGGAAGGGCCCTCCTGCAGTGGCTTCTGCAGCCACTGACATGCCTTGGACACCAAGGAATTGCTGCGCCTGTCACACTATTTGATTTCATTGTAGTCACCATTACCTACGCATATCCACTGTCAATAAGCCACATTTCCAGATATGCTCTTTAGAATTATACAGAGATTCACGAAATGATTTAATGTGTAAAGCCATTCATGTTCGTTAGTCATTTATCCAAATTTTCTGTGATTCTGAAAACACAAAGGATACTAGAGTTAGGACATCTCCTGGGGCTCAGTCCCCTCATTTCAGAGATGAGAAGACGGAAGCCTATAAAGGCAGCGTGGCTTCCTCCCAGCTACACAGTCCATTCCCTCCTGAAATTCCTTGCTTCTTGCCTCTTCCTACATGATTTCTTCTTCAGCTTTTTATTCATTTTGTCTTTGTTTCTCTGATTTTGTTTCCTAGCTGCAGAATTAGTTCCTGTTCTATTACAAAAATTCAACCAAGTAAATATTAAAGACCTAATTGGCCTTAGTCATCATTTCATGAATTGGGCAGTGTGCCACCTAGCAAGTAGAGGGGAGCTCTGAGGGCCTAGAGGAAAAGTTTTTTAAGGTAGAGAGGGAATGGAAAAGACGAAATTATTAACAAAGACTCCCCTGTCGAAGCCAAGGTCCCCCTCCAGGAGGAACAGAAAGAGTCTGTTAGTAAACATCTTAGTGCTGACCAGAAAATGTCCATGTTGATTAGTTAAAGATTACATTTCTTGGTGGTTGAAACTGTAGTTAG